GATGTTCCTGACACCGGTGAGAATCGTTAAATTGTTCTTAGAGCATGCTGTGTCATTATAGATGTGATCTTGTCGTTTTAGGACTTTTGTGCGACTTGTTGTGGTCAGATCCGGATAAAGATGTGCAGGTTTGTTCCTGCGACTTTGACACCGCTCTTTCGTTATTCTTCCTGGCTTTATAAATCGTTTTCGGTATTTTTTCAGGGTTGGGGCGAAAATGACCGCGGGGTATCATTCACATTCGGACCTGATATCGTGGCGAAGTTTCTTAACCGACATGACCTTGACCTGATCTGTAGAGCCCATCAGGTGGGTTATCGTGGCTCATCGTTGTCTTCAAACATTTAATATTCTCATGTTCCTTAAGGTAGTGGAGGATGGCTACGAGTTTTTCGCCAAGCGCCAGCTAGTGACCTTGTTCTCGGCGCCAAACTACTGTGGTGAATTTGACAACGCAGGGGCGATGATGTCCGTTCTCGAAACTTTAATGTGTTCCTTTCAGGTGAGTCATCGATTTCTTGATTTCTTTCGATTCCGTTCATTCGGCTTTTAAATCAGAATGTGTTTAAAAAGAGAACTTGACGGGGAATGGATTCACATTTAAATAATTTTTTGTTTACATTTATATTGCTTTAAAGCTGACGCGTGCCACCACCATAATCTAGAGCAATATTCTTAGCGATTTTGCAGCTGAAAGTGACTAACCGTATGTCAGAAAATCCAGTCCGAGTGCGATTATGGCTGTTTATGAGATCAGCCTAAATGATTCCAGTTCATGGTGTGGTTGAATGATTATAAGAGTAAAACGAAGCAGTGAAAGCTAGCAAAAAGTTAAACTTTTGTATACATAAAAGATTATATCAAGACGAGAAATTGAACAAAACGGTCTTAAAAACAAAATAATCGAAATTGTGTCAGAGCAACAGAGCTCAGACTGTGCTAATCGAGTAGGGTGTTCTCTGTTGATCTACAGTTTTGGGAAATTTTGGTATTACTTGAATATTTGCCATAAGACTCAATGAAGTTAATGGTTGAATGATTAACATTAGCGCGAGATGCAGATTTAAACTATCACCTGCTTGGCAGGGTCTCCATGTTGCTCACGGAACACATGACTGCAGCGTTCTGTTCCTACATACAATTTCGCCGTTCTACGTCGTTACCGTTCTTTGTCTGTCTGTATATTTTAAACAGATTAGATTTGATCATTTGAGTCTTAATGAACCACAAAAAAAATTTAGCATTTAGAACATTAGCGAAGAATATTTCGAAATAGTGATTTGTTGACATTTTAATCGCAGAGGCTTAGTTCACTTAGAGACTCCTAGTAGTGAACTTCACCTGCCATCAGGATGCGGCGCAGTCATAATGCTTCAAGTGCACTTTGCATAACGCAGCGAATAAAAGCATGTGTATGTGCTGCTCTGACGAAGGGCAGTCGCCGACATAGGAAGGAAATTAAAATTTTACCAACGGCTTTTTCCTGGCGCGCATCCGTATGGACCATTTTAGGTGCTCCGTATTGCCGTAGATGCAATCGGTTTGACCAGTCTTTACTTTTACCTGCTTTTCTCGTTCTGTCATAGGTATGTTATAAACGATCGTTGTATTTGTGTAAGGAAAATAATAGCGGTTTTGCTCAATCGCGGAGATCAACTCTCAAAATAAGTGTCGGTATGAGAGGCTAAAAGTGACTACAGTAGTGAGGTGTGAAACGACGATGTCATCGGAACGGTTGTAGTTCAGTTCCATGAAAGGGATGAAACAGCAGATGTCAAAATTGCATGAGGGCTTCAGTTAGAGTCGTTGTCTCTAAAACCAACTCGCTACGTTCTGAGATGCAACTGTAGTATGGGTAATATTAGTTGTGATATGTACATTTAAATATCTGCTGTTAAGTATCAGATTTGGCGAAATATTGCTAGAAGTGAGTACTGGTCTGGTCATTAAGAGTTGGATTAATAAACGGACGCTGACAAAGCTTGAATTAAAAATATTCTCAGATGGTCGTTAGAAATGGAGTGCTCAAATGCCACAGGTCTGAGGTCAGTTTCAATGGTTAAAGCGAAAGGCAACTCCCACGAAATTGCAGCTTGCATTCGATCATCATCCATCACAGTGATTAGTCACTTGGAAATCGGCTGCGGAGCAAATATCGCTAACTAGACATATGCCATTACGTATTAAATTTCGAAGGCTTTCTTAAGCAGGGAACGTTTAAGCGTATCTCATCTTTTTGATAATCTGCTGGTCAATTAATTTATTCACTGTAAGTGATATGCGGGGAATGTTTTATTTTTCATTTATTTTTCGTTTTCTTGTAGGTGCTTAAGCCGTCAGAGAAGAAAGCGAAATACACCTACAGTGGGTTGAATTCCGGACGGCCGATCACCCCTCCGCGGCATACGGAAATCACGAAGAAGGCGAGCAAAGCCTAGTCGTTCGTTGAATGTCCTCCATCCGTCGTTTTGTCTCCATCCATTTATCGCCGTTCGACCCTAGTTTTTCGATGTGCACATAAGTTTGACTGTTTCATCGCGAACGTTTCCTGCTGGCGTATTTCTAACGTCTGTTGTTGTCGTATTTGTACATTTCAGCGTTTCTTCCCACTATTTGGCCCTTATTGGAGCATTTCAATCGTACGTGTTTTTATTATTCATGAATGTATTTTATATTTGTTTGTTTTATTGTATCCGGTTAAAACTAACGCTGCTTGAAGAAGAAAATTTTCGTAGATAACCATTTTTCCGAATTTGGTGTAAACAACTATGTGATCTTTTGTTGTAAATATGAGAAAGTAAAATACCTGGAAACTTCATGATGTTAATCGCTTTTTATATTTTCCAGTTGTAATCCGTCGAACTATCATGTTCACTTTGAACTCTTGGTAAACTGCTTGTTAGTACGTCTTATTTTTCTTTTTGTGATTAGTATGGTACCGTTCATGTTGATTGAAAATCTACGATTTGAATGGCATTACTTTTGAGTCCTTTTAGATTTTCCTTCCTTTCGTTGGGAGAAGTAGTTATGATTTTATACTGTCGATTTTTTTCCCTGTGCGATGACGTTGGGAACATT